AGTGTTTGGTCTTTTAAGGGAATGTGATGTCCCTCTAGATAGAGTAAGATAAAGAGCATCAGGGACATGAAAATCATGCAATATGAATGCGCCAATAACACTAGGCATAGCCTTTGCCAGGATTTTAGGGCATTCATTGCTAATCCTCTTTATAGTGAAACTTAATAAGGAACTACTTAACATGTAATAAGACTTAAGGTCTGATATAATATCTAGTTTTGGTTGTTTCCCTTGTCGCTTACATGTTATCTGTTTTACTTGTCATTGAAGGACAATTGAGACGAGAAATCTACCTGTAGGACTAGAGATATTAGCGGAATAAGGAGAGAAATAAATCCTGATTTAAGAGGAGGTCTGAATCCAATTCACTTACCAAGTTTATTTTATCTTAAACAGAGCTGGGGAAAGTGTTTACACCTTCTTTTTAAAACAGAACTCTTGTAGCCATCACTCATTACTGATGACGTTGTAATCTGAATTCTCTTTAAATTAATAACTTTCTGAGTTTTCAAATTTCATGGTTTGTCAAAGTTAAGAAACTAGTACCTTACTTTAATGCATCTCAAGTAATATGTGGTCATTGACACAACTGTTTATTTGACAATCTGAAATGTTCTCTAGATCAAGTAAATAATCTTGACCTTTTGATACACTTGATGCCATGGTTCCGTTTGTTTTGTTTACATTAAGATATTAAGGATGTCTCTCATGAGACTTATCAAGACAAGAGAATAAGGACTTGTAAAGATGCATATTGATGTAACTGAAATTTTAGTACTAGAGTTGTTGGTGAAAGGATGGAAGCTTCTGCCTCATGCTGGCTATTATTTAGATAATGTAACTGCCATATATTTTGTTCATGTTCTATGCATACTAGATGACAGGAGCTCAATGCACAATGTCGTGAAATGAAAACTATCCTTTTGCGATAAACAAGGAAAGTAACTCTCGTTTTAGTTGGTGTTTGTGTATGACCCGTGCTTGAGAACAGTCATATGTGTTGCACCTTACCAGATACCCCACTTTTACTAGTCACAGATCATGATAGATGAGTAGGGTGTTTTCATTTCTATTGTTGAACTTTCAGGGAGTAAAAGCTGCTATTAAGAACGACTAATCCATATACAGCTTGATGATGAAGCATGGCATTCCCCATATTTACGTTCATGTCAATATGTTAGTTTTATTTTTGTATGTGTATATAGCAAAGGTTACCTATGCTGGTCTTTACGTGTCATTACGTATCAGGAAGGTGTTTTTTTGTTAACTTTTGTGTCCTATCGATCTTTCAGGAGGTGAAAGCTGATGTTAAGAACAACTAAATCCACCCGATACTGATGCCACAGATTGAAATGATGAAGCATGGTGTTTCTTCCATTTCCAGTCTCGTATAATTTTTTATTTTTTAAAGGAAAAATAATATATTTTCTCTTTTTCTAACGGATAAAAACTGTTCACAATGTTCGTTATGATGTTCTAGTGTTATTTCTATGTCCAGAGAGCAAGACATGTGTTTATTATGATCTTGTTTCCGCTCACTAATTGCTTATTATCGATTTGTATGTCTAATTTGGGACTTGAAGGTTCGTCGTGACAAAGCATTTAACAATTCTTCTCCAACTTCCCTTGAATGTTTGTAGATGGTACTAGATTGAGATTGATCTGCTACTTACATTTATGATAGTGCCATGCATCAGGCTCGAGCTGCTACTTCAAGAACTAATTTCTAGGTCTACGTACATCACATCATTCTGAGACCCTATGTGTGGAATTGTACTGGTTTTGTTATATGAGAGTAAGAGTATGATACACATTTTATGATTCTTCATAATTATAAATCTAATAGTTAAAGAAAATAAGACATAAATTCCCTCCTCGAATATGATCTGAATAATTCTTTTTGAACAACACATGTTACCTCGAGGTATTAGCTAATCTCAAGATTATGTTATCCTATTCATCTGCTTGGGTTATGGAGTAGGGATTAAAGAATATTGGACAAGAAATGAGAAATGGAGAAAGACAGTGGAGCAGCCTTTGCCTTTGTACCGAGGAGGAGGTTTACTTTTGGGGATTGGAGGTTCATTGTGACAACATTAAATGAGAAGCATGGACAAAAATTAAAAACCACCCCAAAATGAAACAATCTAATATACTTTGGTCGGTATGATAGACTAAAAATACCACTCTTGTTTCAAATGAAATTGATTTTTGTTGCACGTTACATGTAGATTGTGTACTGGGATGGGTACAGCAAGCTCTGCTTTCTGCATCTACACTAGACACAAACGTTTCAATAACAAATAGAAGCAAAGGGAGAGAAGAAGCTCAATTAATTCAAAATCAGAAAAGTTGGTATCGACAAAGAAAAGCATAGAATTGCAATGAGCAAGAACTAAAACAACTATAACCAAAACTGCAGGTGGCCATTGCCCTTTTTTTCATTTCATACCATTGAATAGCAGAATAACAAAAGGGTATTTTTATATTACATAACAAGTTCTCTACTCCTTTCTCCTAATACTTCCCCAAACACAACACCCATTTACATCTAAAACTCCTGAGATGCAGAGCCAATATCACCCTTTCCAGATCCAGCCTTCTTAGGCAACAAGTTCTGGTGAATGTTGGGCAAAACACCTCCATTAGCAATGGTAACATGACCCAACAGCTTGCTCAACTCCTCATCATTCCTCACAGCCAACTGAATGTGCCTGGGCACAATTCGATTCTTCTTGTTGTCTCTAGCAGCATTCCCAGCCAATTCCAACACCTAAATTAACACAAACCTTACAAACTTAGAATTCCATTTACATTAACAATACTTGAACAACATTTCACAACTATCTATACAAAAAAATCAAGCATGTGCAACAATTTGTGTAAAACCTCTTAATTTTATGCAGAAACATTGAATATACAGAAACAATTAAATTATTTCAGCTAATTATGAAATCTATCAATTAATTGTTAAAAATCTCACTAATAAACTAGGATAAACACGATTTCACTAACATGCAGAAAGCTTTGAGCATAAAATAGTCAAAAATTAGCAAAATAAATTACCTCAGCGGCGAGATACTCAAGGACGGCGGAGAGATAGACAGGAGCACCAGCACCGACACGTTCAGCGTACTTTCCTGCCTTAAGGAAACGAGCGATCCTACCGACGGGAAATTGAAGACCGGCTTTTGAAGATCGAGAAACCGATTTCGTTGCCTTTGGCTTGCCTCTTCCGGCGCCGCCTTTACCTGCTCCAGCACCTGAAGTCATTTTTTTTTTCTCTTACGAAAAAACCCTAACCCTAGATTTGGAGTTGCAGAGACAGAGAGAAGGAAGATGGTGAAATGTGATACGGAGAAATAGAGGAAGTGGAGTTTTATATATAGTAACGTATGGTGTGTTCTAATTGGTTGAAATAAAGTACGAGGATTGCCAGCGTGGATATGGCGGTACTTTTAATTTTTGGAATACCCTCTAATATTTCCCTCCGTCCTTGCTATTAAAATATTCACGAAACTTCAAATAGAGTACTTTCTTTTAAAAAAATTTATAGTCATAAATAATTATGTGAAAATTTAAAAATCGTCAAAAAATAGAATAGATATAAAGGAAGACAAACAAAATGAAACAAAATATTTTTTCTCTATTTTTCATGAAATTTTTACTAGTACAATTGAATCTCTCTATAGCTATAGTGATTGTCTAAAAGTTTCATGACCTTCTTTATAAATGAGGTGTTGTCGTTAGAGCTGTCAAAAATGGCCGGTCCAGCCCCATCCCGCCCAAGTCTCACAAGTCAAGAAATTTAAAGGGCTAGGGCGGGACGGCCCTTCATTTGGTAGTACCTAAAAATGCTCAATCCAATCCAACCCTACAAAGGGCTGAGGGTTGGGGCCGGCTAGTCCTTATGTTTTTCTTTTTTAAAAAAAAAAAAATCTTTTCAAACTTGTAATTTTATAGCATCAAGAAAATGAGAAGATTTTCAAATCAAATATGGCAAATAATGGTGTTCTTTCAATAACACTAGCAAAACTCTAGTGTAATTAGCATGTATCTCGCATACCAGATATGTGAGTGAGATAAGAGAGTGACAAGCAAGATGAGAGGGAGGTGAGGGCTCGAGATTTGTATATGTATCCTAGTATAACATCAAGAAAATGAGAAGATTTTCAAATCAAATATGGCAAATAATGGTGTTCTTTCAATAACACTAGCAAAACTCTAGTGTAATTAGCATGTATCTCGCATACCAGATATGTGAGTGAGATAAGAGAGTGACAAGCAAGATGAGAGGGAGGTGAGGGCTCGAGATTTGTATATGTATCCTAGATACATGCGAATCTACTTGGATATAGTGTATCTAAAACAAATTAACCTAATTTTTAGTCCATATATTTCGAGATACATGTACCTGGGTACGAAAATTCATAATATTACAACATAGCGTGTATTCAAATAATTAGATTATATATTAGTGAGATTATTGTAAATTACTCTTAAATAAAAAGTTTTGGCCCATGGGCCGACCCCGGCCCAGCCCTGATCAAGCATCAAGGGTCAAGGACTTATATGGGTCGAGCTAATAAGCCTTAGTTTTAAATGGGCTTAAAAAATTCTATCACAACCCTACCCCACTAACGGGTAGGGTTGGGCCAACCCCATAGGCTAAGCCCATTTTGACGGCTCTAGTTGTCGTATATGTATATATAATTATTATAAATAAAAATATGTAAAATTAGAGAACGTATGAATATAAATGAAGCAAACATCAATAGTCTTTTCTCGTGAAGTAATGATCCTAACTTACAAACATTATTTGAATAATTGAATACAATTTTCTTTTTTCCTTTTAGATATTTTACTTGAAAATTTACTATGTGCATGATATTAATGATAGTTATCAAAAATATTTTAATATTTTAATTTATACGTAACATATTTCTTACATATAAAATATTATTACACGATATTTGAGTATAACTATTTTAGACGGGTAATTTACAGAATATACTGCTATTATGATGTCATTATTAATAGTACTGGTTGGAAAACAACAACAAAACTATTTAAATGATAAAAGGAGAATGTTTTATAGCATAAAATTTGCTTGTGGAAGCTTAACCTAAGAATGTCCATCTCCTGGCAATTAAATTGACAAGGGGTACACAATCAAAGGATGAGTTCACTTATTGAAACACATAATGGTGATTTAGTTCTTTTACACCAGTAATCGCGGATGTGATTTTACTGCATTAATGGTGTATTAGCAAACCGGTAATCGTACTTTGAGATCACTGCACCGTCTCTTTCTCCACACACTTCACTAATAGGAACTGAGTCAATAATTTCCTTCAAATCGTCCAGTGTAAGTTTCACTCCTAGAGATTGGACATTGTCATTGAGGTTCTTGATCTTTGTTGTCCCTGCAATACAGCAGCAGAGTATTTCAACTCATATAAAAGGTTAAACAAGACACCACTAGATTATTTCGCGACATGGATGGAAGGGGAGGACAGCTAATTTTTGAGAGGAAGGAAAGTTATTAATTCCGAACATACCTACAAAGCGGAATGACATCCTCTTCTATATCACGGGTCCAAAGAGAATACTCCAATTGTACAGCAGTAATGGGATGAACAGCATGTGCCCTCTTAATTGTGTCTACACTGGCTTCCGATAAACCAATGTATCTAATCTTTCCCTCCTCGACTAATTTCTTGAGTTCCCCCATCTTCAATCATTAAGTTGGTTCAAGTAAATCAAGTTCCCCCTGTACTACATACATCACAGTAGGTAAGAACAATGGATAAAGATCGAACTTACAGTTTCCTCTATTGGCACAGTTGTGTCTATTCTGTGAGGATAATATAGATCGATGTAGTCTACATCAAGCCGCTTCAGACTTTCTTCGCAGCATTTCCGTACATATTCTGGAGTGCCTTTGACATGAAACTGGAAGCCCTCAGAAAGTAACAACCCAAATTTGGTTGCCAGTTGGACTTGCTCACGAGGAAGCTGCTTCAGTGCCTGATTATCGCAAAATGACCTTTAACGAAAAGAAAATGTGATAGTTTAAAGAAAGAAAAACGTCTCAGAAACACTTGAGTGATTTTATTGGTCAAAAATCTTCAAACAGAACATTTATCCTTTCTTTCCATCATCAAACCGAACATACCTTTCCAATCATTATTTCGTTGTCGCCTTCATGCCCATATAAATCGGATGTGTCAAAGAAGGTGATGCCTTTATTGAATGTTTCCTTTAAGATTGAGCATCCAGCTTCATGTGACAGAGGAGTATTTAATATTCCAGAAAGTCCTAAACAACCGAAGCCTAGTTTCGAAACCTGGCAACAAGAAAAGATTGATCTAATTGTTTAAATTTCTGTTATAACATAGAAGCTAAGTAATCTGTTGGCTTTTCTTTTAGCTAGAATTTTATCATCACTCGCAAGAATTTCATAATTTCTAGATTAAACAACCTTTTTTTTCCAATAGTCAAAATGCATTAATATTACTCTCAGTTCAGTGAATAGCTGGAATGACAAGATACTCAAGGAGAATGAAAAGTGGGATAATTGCATGTACAAAATGTAACTATAAGCTTTGTGACTCAGTTTTGTTGAAGGCAAAAAGCTAAAAAGGAAAAGAAAAACCAAGTTTCTGGATAGGTATAAACACAAGTAGCAACAACAACAACATATTCAGTATAATTCCACAAGTGAGGTCTGGAGAGAGTATGGTATACGTAGACCTTATCTCTACCTTTGTGGGGCACAGAGACACAAGTAAGAATAAATTCATATTGATGTCCCTTTTTAAAAAAAAAAATGGGGTAGGGGAAGGAGATTATAAGGTGGAGAATCGATCCCTCTCACCAACAAGGTTAAAGTTGAGACCACCAATCAACTGAGCTACTAAAATTTCTACTTTCATATCGACGGCCATTCCAAGTTTAGCTACAATCTTGGGAGCATAATCATTTTCTCTTCTTTTTTTTCAAAATTAAAAATTGTCAAACTCTTATACCATTAAAATTTCTCTTACTTTTTTTTAGATACAAAAATTTCAAGACTAACTTTAACTTCGGAAAAAGATGAAAAAAAGAAGAAGAAAGATAATATGTATAGTGAAGCTGTTTACATGGTAACCCAGAAAGCTAAAATGGACTCTGAACCAAAAAAAACAAAAAGATCCACCAGAAAGTAAGCTAACACAGCTTCAACTTTCAAAAATCACAGTTTCAAAAACTCATTTCAAGTTTCAACTTCAAAATTTATGCCCAAATGGGGGCTAATTGGTTGTCATAATTTTTTTTTACAGTTCCAGTTCCAGTTCCAGTTTTATGATGAGTATTTGTGCGTCAATTACAAGAATGCTTAACTTAAAAAGTTTTTTTAACAGAAATTGAAATCATAGCTGAAAAATTGTATTACCTCAACCCTTGTGTGCCCAATTTTACTTTAGGAATTTGGATTTGGGAGTTGTGCTCCATTTTCAAACACCAAATGCTTGATGAGAAGAAGCTACACAGGGGATGCACTGGTTAGCTACTATTCTAGTATGAGAAAAATGAGCTCAGAAGATCTTGACTCTTCAATCAATTAAATGAAAGTACCAAATTGGGACCATTTGAATTTTCTATAGCATTCTCTATTTCTCTATTACCTATTGTATTTTTTTTGTTTTTATTTGTTTTTTGGATTATATGAATTTTGTGAGTGGAAAGAAAATATTTTTTTTTCAATAATTTGGTGAGTTTTTTCGAACAACTAAAGTAGCTGTTGGGACAATCTCTTTAACACTCTATTTGAATCATTGTTATCCATTGTATTGTATTTTATCGTTACTATATCTACAATATTTATTTTGATTGTTACTTAAAATGCATTGTATTGTTAAATTTTGTTGTTATGTAACAATAAAAACCCCTATTTTATGGAACAACCGATTTGGTGTGTTCCCATTGTTACTTAATTTCTTTTTCTAATTATATCTTTACATAATATTTCAAAATATTATTTTACCCTTTACCTTATATTATGTAATTCTAGTCAAACCTCCTACCCTAGAATAATTAAGGATATTTTAGTAAATTTATAAATTACAATACAGTACGATACAATCAAACCAAACAATACAGTCTAGCCAAACATTGTATTTACCATACATCACAACAATAGAATACAATACATTATGAAACAATTGGTAACAATGATCCAAACTGAGTGTAATTGTCCAATTATTTTTTTTCAACCATAGAAATAAAAAGTTGGGATATAACATACTTTTACAAACAAAAAAATGTTTAATGACATGCTACTCTCTGCTATTATTCTTTTGATTATTTTCAATGTATTTTCCTAAAAAATATAATTAATGAAGGATAAAATATGAAAATAAAAAGATAAAGAAATACTGTATCAATTATTTTGAAACAGGGAGTAAGAAAAGTTTGTGAAAAAGCAAAAAGATAATATTGCAAATTATTCTTTAATTAATGTCATTTACTAACTTTCTTAAGGATGTGTCACACTCTATAAATTACTCTTTATGTCTTTAATTACTTATTCATTTTTTAATTGACACATCTATTAAGAAAATAAGAATGACATAATAAGTTTATTATTTTACTCTTATTAATTATGAAGTGGATGAATTAAAAAATTTAGATTTTCAAAATTAATTAATTGAGGGTATAATAGGTTAAAAAAATTGTATTTTCTTGATTTGTCAAAAGGGACAGTAAAAGGGACAAATAAAAAAAAGAAAAATTGGATAAGTAATTAGGGTCAGAGAGAGTAATTTATTTAGAACAAATAGAGTACAATCTATTTTTACTTTTAATTGTCATAGTTTCCTTGTTTAGAGTCAAACTATAAGAGTTTGACTAACATTATATTGATATGCAAAAAATTGTAATTTATAGTACTTTTCGTATAGTTTTTGAATATCTAAATTTTTTGTTTAAAATATCGAATTAATGTAACCTAATTTCACTTTGAAAATTAGTGAAATTGCTTTCGAAAAGCGCAACATGACAATTAAAAGTAGACGGAGAGAGTAATAAATATGGATAACTTAACAAGTGATACTCCATCTGTGTATCTTTACTTTCCCATGTGTATTATTTTGAAATGTCCAACTATACTTATCCAATTCATAAAACCAATAAATAGTTTACCATGTTGTGTCTATTTTACCCTTACTAATAACGAGTATTTATTTTTCAATATTTAGATGACTTATCTTTAATAAAGGTGATTTTACCAAATCACCCCTAACATTTACTGCTTCTTAATCTTTATGTTAAATCAACAGTAGACAACTATTATTGAACGAACGCAATATTTGTATTTATTATTTTCTTCATGAGCGTGAAAAGAAGTTAAAATGAGGCTCATTGAGATGGAAAAAAATATTAAGCTCATTAATGATTTTATCGTTAATTGTTTACATTAAAAGAATTTGTTTATGGGATTAAAAGAAGTTAAAATCGACACTTATCATCAGATTACATATTGTTTAAAGTAAAAAATTATCGTAACACAATCCACTAATACTTTTGAATATTGAATTACTTTTGATTTGTACCAAGGCTACGTATCGATTGATTTGATTTTTAAAATTTATCAATTCAATTTATTAGTTATTGATTTGAAGATATGCTAAATCATTATAGAACTATTAATATATCAATTTATTGGTTATCAGCTTTTCAATTATTGATCATTATCGATTCGATTTACTGTTAAGATTTCACACACCAATAACTCATTGAAAATCACTTAGAAACAAAGATAACAATAAAAAGAACCATGCACATAAGTTGACAAATTGCATCTTGTTCAAAAGTAAACACTGACACCTGATAAAATAGTCGAGAGTTTGAGACAATTAAATATAAAAGTATGAAACGTAACCCTGACTTTATATACCGAATGATATAAATATAATTTATTTATTTATTTAGTATTGAGTTATCAAATAATCCATTAAGAAAAAACTTCAAACCGTTAAAAACCGATAATCCGATATTAAAAGAAAAATTAGAACCATTACCAAACAACTAAACAAATAACTCATTACCAATAACTTAATAACTTTTAATCTATTCAAATTATTGATTTCGGTTCAATTTTGAACGGTCTGAGCACTAATTGGTTCCATAAACTAAGGCAGCTGCTTCTGCCCAGTAACTAGTACCAGTGCCAAGAATTATTACATAAACAAACACTAGTTTTCCTTCATGGAACATAATCACAGATTCACCTCCTCAGGTTCCTTCTTTACAACTTCCATATAAATTTACTTAAAAGGAATTTATTTTCTGAAAGAAAATGTTTTTCAAATTATTTTGACCGAACCAAACATGAAAAAAAACTGATAATCCTCCATATCAAACACAGCCTTTGTTGCCCATATGATTTCTCAGTAACGTGTATTAGCTAACCGATACTCGTATTTAGACATCACTTCGTCCGATCTTTCTCCACAGACTTCACTAACGGGGATGACATCCGTGATTTCCTTCACGTCTTCTGGTGTAAGCTTCACTGCTACGGATTGAATATTGGCATTTAGGTTCTTAATCTTTGTCGTTCCTGCAACACATTGGAAGTATGATCAGAAATGCCTCGACTTTTTTAGAACAGGTCCAAGGTTAAATGATATATTGCAGTTAACAAACGAACACCATGATGACCAAGAATCTAACAAGTTGTATAACAACAACATCTCGAGGAGGGGAATTCAATTAACTAATAGAAATAGTAATTTGATTTGCATAAATTTTTGTGAATGCAGAAGGCATATTACATACCAGGTATCGGAACCACGTCATCTCCCTGATGCAGAAGCCATGCTAAAGCTAGTTGAGGAGGTGTACAACCATGCTTTGCTGCTAAGTTTGCAAATCTTGTGTAAAGAGCTTTGTTCTTCTCCAAGTTCTCTCCAGAAAATCTTGGATGAGAACCCTAACAAAACAGAGAGATTGAGATACCTAGACGTAATTTTCCCAATGAATGACATGATAGACAAATATTTACACACACAGCTACAAGAGATGGTAGAATGAAGAAGTTCTAGGGAAGTACTATGCAGTAGAAAAGATGCATAATAGAATGAAAACAAGTTATATGAAATGGTTATGACACCAACAACGTTATGTGAGCGTGAATGCTAAGTGTTAAGTTGGCAACAAATGTCGTTATGTTTGACTATGTTAGCAAGGACGAAGAAGGTGTGACATACGAGTAGTAAGCTTGCACTCTCTTTCCGTCAACTCTTCAAACCCTTGTAGATGTATTACGCACTACTATAGTTATACCAAACAAGGGAAAGAGAATGATGATTACTTCATTCAAATGAAATAAATCTGAGAGGACCGGTCTGATACCTAACATATACTAGGAACTACTGCAATTACTTACCATCAGACTTCCCTCAGGCAAGCTTTCTGTTATTGCCTTCCCACCAAAGAACCCGTGGCCAAGGGGGCTGTATGCAACAATCCCAATGCCCAATTCTCTGTATTAAGGAGGCAGAAAAATCTATTAGACAATTCTTGAAGTTCTTTCTGAAATCTACAGATAACTTAATGAGCAACCAGGTCATGAAAGTGATCTTAATCTTTGAGTGACAACATTCATCAGATACGAGCATACCTACAAAGCGGAATTACATCCTCTTCTATCTCACGAGTCCAAAGAGAATACTCCATTTGCACACAAGTGATGGGATGAACAGCATGTGCCCTCTTAATTGTGTCAACACTGGCTTCAGATAAGCCGATGTACTTAATCTTTCCCTCTTCCACTAGCTTCTTGAGTTCCCCCATCTTTTGTCTCGTGAAATTGATTCAACAAAATCAAGTTTCTGTACAACATATTTATCACCATAGGCAAGAACATGGATAAAATTGGATACTCACAGTTTCCTCTATAGGCACAGATGTGTCTGTCCGGTGCTGATAATATAAATCGATGTAGTCCACGTCAAGACGCTTGAGACTTTCTTCACAGCATTGCCGCACATATTGTGGAGTGCCTTTGACTTGACATTGTAAGCCATCTAAGTCCTCGGAAAATATACACCCAAATTTGGTTGCCAGTTGGACTTGCTCACGAGGAAGCTGCTTCAATACCTGGTTATCTCAAAATGACAATTTAGAAAACAAAATCATTACTTATATGATAGTTTTAAAAAGGAACAGGTCTCAGCAACATCGAGTGATTATATGGCTCTAAATCTTCAAACAGAAGACGATGAACTGATCGACACAAAAATATTGAACAGTACACTGATCAATTAAGCATATACCTTTCCCACCATAATCTCATTGTGACCCTCATGCCCGTATATGTTCGCTGTGTCAAAGAAGGTGATGCCTTTGCTGAATGCTTCCTTCAAGATTGCACACCCAGCTTCATGTGACAGAGGATCATTTAAAAAGCCAGAAAGTCCTCCACAACCAAAACCGAGTTTCGAGACCTTGCAAAAGATTAAGTAATGATTTAAAAGCTTCTAGCATAAAAGTAAAACTTTGTCCTTTCTTTTAGCATAAATGTTTTTCAGATATCCCAAATCTCGGAACCATTGCGAACCTAAAGTCCTTTTCAAGAACAGAACTAAGGGTGTCAA